AAATTTTCTATTACCATGGAGAAATAATGCTTTTAAGGTACTCTAATGCACATTCATAGCTTGCAAGTAACTTACAATTTTCACTTCTTATTCTAGCAGCTGGTGGAAAGTAAGCATTTATAACCATTATCTGCCAATCAACAGCTTGATAACAGAAAGCTGTAAGTGACCATTGAGAGACCCATAAACTTTATCCATGATGGGATGTGGGATCTTTATTTTATTTCAGTTTATTTTATTGGTTGTTCTACATAGATAGGTTCTGAATTAGCAAGCATTGTTCCTACCATTGTTCAGATAAGTAAACAGGCTCAGAAAGAGTAAAAAAATGAGAGGATAGGGTAATTCACAAAGAAAGATAAAGAACAATAAATAAATCCAGTTTTGTTAGCTAGAGAATCAATAATTTAAATGCAAATCGTTAATAACTATGGGTTAGATGAACTTGTTAATTCGAATCATATTTCAACACACATTTATTGAATATTTCCATTATGCTAGGCACTGTTCTAGGCTCTAAGGGAAAAGTGATGTGCGAGATAAACACATCCCTGCTTTCGTGCAACTTATGTTTTAGTGGTGATAAACAGAAAAGAAAACAAACAAAAAAGATATCAGAAATGCTAAGTATATGAAAAGAGTTTGACTAGGGTATATGATAGTTTGACAGTGTGATTACTTTAGATTGATTGGGGAAACTGTGGTGACTTCAAGGCAACGTGTGGCCCCCCAATTGAATCCAAACTTCACAGAACAAAATTTGGATTCAGTAAAAAGACCACACCCAAGGATCCAGAAGGCCACATTTGGTCTTGAGGCCACAAGTTGCCCACCCCTGAGTGACATTTCACCTGATACCTCAATGACAGAAGCAGGCAGCCATACAGACATCGGGGAAGGAGCAACCAAAGCAGAAGGAGCACAGCTCATGAAATGATCCTAAGGCCAGAAAAAGTTGGGCTTATCTGGGGAGCAGAAAGAAGGCCTGTGTGGCTAGAGAGGAGTGTAACATGGGGGAGAGTAAGGGGAAGAGTAACATGGCATAAGTTCCAAGAGGTAGACAGGAGCCAGGATGGATGGATGGATGAAAGAATGGATAGAAGGAAGACCAGAAAGAGAAAAATGAGCATGAGTGCTAATTTGAGGTTAATCAGAGATTCTCTTGTGTGTTGATCTTTCTGGAAGTTTTCTATTAGCTCACATTCCTGCCTTAGCAAGGACTGAGGAATGAATATAACATTTATTATTTAATATTTTAAGAAGGTACCATCTCCCAGGTTATTACCTTAAATATAAATGACCATGGGGTAGCACTGAAAACAATACATGTGTAAAAAGTGTAATACAGTAGGATGAATATGTTATTTTCAAGAGACATCCAAAAAGTGAATTTTCAATAATACTTGATTTGAATCTGTTTTGTACTGATTTGCCTCTTTCTTCTCAAAGAGTATGGAAAGGTATTCTTAGTTAATTAAAGATTCATATTTGCTGACTCTGATTAATCAATGTTTTCTGGTGCCAAAGAATTATTTAAATAATTCTCACATTTCGTTTATCTTCGAATATTTACCGGTTGTGTAAGATTTTATTATAAGCAAATTTTCAAAAGCAATATATTTTTAAGACATGTTAGAACTGAAACTCAACCAATTAAACTGCAAATAAAGAGGCCCACTGCTCTCTGTGACCTCACACAAATCAGATCATCAATCAAAATCTCAATTCCTTCTGTAAAAACTGGAATATATGCTTGGCCTCCAACTAGAATCTCAATAAAGAACTATGGAGATTTGATTTTATTGAATAAAATCATTTTTATAAGTATAACCTTGATATTTCAAAAATTTAATTGGCTCCAGAGTTTAGAGTTGACATTACACTGACCCTATGACTGCCCTTATGTCACCCATTGCTTCAGAAGCTTCTCTGTCTAAAGTCCACAAAAACTGTTTCAACAACCATGCCATTTAATGTTGGCTTGAAATTGCAAATACTTTCTCTCACTAATCACAAAGCCATATCCAGAAATATTCATTAGTAATTGTATTTGCATCTATTAAATGTAGATTAAGAGGATCTTATTTTAACGAGATCTTATTTACCAACTAATTAAAATGAAAATTTATTACAAGTATGAAAATAATTAACTTAGAATTATTAAAGTAACGTAGTTCTTCTGGTTGTAAGAAAACAATACAATCATTTTCTCCCACTCAATGGGCCTTGTTTGAAACAGCTACTTATATATCAGTCATTGTTGTTAATTTCACATTTTTACCTACTCTTTATTTTCCCAGATATTGAAATTCTGGTGTTACTGATTTCATAAAACTCTTTTAAAGACAAAGTCACTGTGTGTCAAAAACAGTTGTTTAAGCATTCACTTCTGACAGCTCTGCTCTTGATACTTTCCACAGTAGCAGCTGGGAGAGCATCTGACCATCAGTCATGTATTTCTCTGTTGTACTTTCTTTTTCCACTCAAAGTATAAGTTCTGCAACAAGCATTATCCCACAACCTTTTTTCTCATGTTTAATAAATGTGACCCTCTATACAATAACCAACCAACAAACAAAATCCTATTCTCTTTATAGAGCAGGGGAGAGTTATTACATTATTTCCTTCACGTAGTGGTTGATGCTGTCTCGATGTTATTGTTTTGTCAAATGGCAGTAAAATAAAGAAGAAAATAAAGCTTCTTCAGGCATGATCGTTTGCCATTAGCAAACAAACAAAATCTTAACTTGGAAATATAACGTTCAGAAAGCACTAATACAGCTGACTATATATTTCTACCTCAAACATTTTCAAAGATAACTTCATTCTTTCCATTCTTACACTAAAAAGAAAATCTGTTGTTTTAAGATAAAAGAGCCACAAAAATCCAAGACTTAATCTCTGCTTCAGGCTAATGACAAAAAAATATTTTTCATTTTTAGTTCACATCCTGAAAAAATTCCCTTGGTGGACAATGTTCTGAACTAGATTCTGAGAGGCAAATACATTTTCTTCACTTAAGTTTTTCAGGATGACAAAGGAGAGAAGAGAGAAGAAGGGGTCAAAAAAGAAATAAAAAAGTTATCCTAAAATAGATCAGCTTCAAATGTTAGAACACTTTTTAGTACATTGAGCAACTTCAAACTTCAAATTTTATACTATACATAAATATTTGAATGACATAACACCTTATCCTGGTATATCAAGAATTAAAATGGTCTCATATTTATTTCTAATCATATCACTGAACTGCTACTGTTTTCTGGGCTGCAAATGAATGATTTATTCATAATAGTGTGACACAGTCCTGTATGATTGATTGGTATAAAATAGAAAGAGACTTTGTCCTCAGCAAAAGCTTAGAACAGGGGCTGTCCAGTGCGTGCTGTCTGTCCATCTACAGCTAGCCGGCTCAATTACTGCTTGCCCTTCTGGTAAGAGACTCAATGGATTTTTCACAGCATAATTTCCACTCTACAAGAAATTATGAATCTCAATTGACTCTGTTTTAAGACATTTCTAGATTCCAATCCATTACAGTACAATGACTTCACCTTATCTTAGACTTTTCAGAATCTCATGATGATTTTTCAAGTTCCAAGAAAAAAAAAAAGGTAGGCAGGCAAAGTACTCCTTAATTTTCGTGTTTTTTTTTTTTTTTTTACAGAAGAAAACACAACTATTAAAAAATAATGATGGCATAGAAATCTTTCAGATTGTATATACCTTAAAGCTCTTCCTTTTCTTTGCTTTTTCCTCCCATTTCAATAATTAGGCCAGGGAAGGAAGAAAGGAATTTCTAGTCCAGTGGTCATGTTCCACATCTTATCATTTTGTTGCTGTTTTTCCTCTAGCCAAATAGCTCCATTAATCAGCAGGAAAAATATGCAGCAAACTATCTATACATTCTAATATTATTCCCAATGGATAACTGTGAATTAGAAAGTTGCTTCTGAAAGAACTTCTGTTACATTAAAGAACTATGGTGGCATGCCACAAATCTCAGAGCAGTATTGGTGTTACTTTGCGTTAGTTCGTGTTTTGGTTATAACTAAGCATATGGCAAATTTAATGAATTTACTTAATGAATGGGTATTCATTTAAAAACTCTCTTTCTGTATAGCTTAAGTCTTACTTCCAGAGTAGTTAAATTCAATCTGAGACATATTTTTACCTAGATAATTTTACTTAATTTTCCTACTTGAGTGTTGTGACTAATTCCTAACAAAATAAAAACAGACAATCCACTATGGATATTTTATATTAATGACACACTTTAGCTTCATACACCTATTTCTACTGATTGCTGTATTTACTTGGCTTCAGGAAGTTGACCCTTTGATTACACTGATTCTAATAATTCCAGTTATTTTGATAAGTATCACATGGATAATGCTTTGTATTACTCTACATGCAATGCTAAAATAATCATTCATTTGATTATATGAAACTTAGTTTAAATCTTAAACTATGCATTTTAAGGATTTTGAAATAATGAAAATACTGAACCCTCAGTTTTTTCTCAAATTCAATTCATATGAATCCTGATTCTATTACTGAATATTTAATCCAGATAATCTATATGACACACATGTAAAAGAACAGTTGTATGAGTAATAGTTTATTCTATATATATGCCATTGTGTGGTAGTTATACAAATAGGTGGCAGATCTCTAGTTCACATTAATATTTTAGCTACAAAACCAATAATGAACAAAAATTACTGGTAAGTGAAGAACATTTTATGTGAAAACTCAATCTGCATATTAACAATATATAGATATAATAGAGATTCATAAGTCTTAGACAGAATTGAAGTCATGACTAATCCCAATAATAACCATTTCCCACTCTATATTTGCATATAAAATAAGTTGCAATTCCTTGGCACCATTAATCTTTTCTTCTTAAGCAAAAATAATTTATTATTAATTTAAATATTTAAAAAATAAAAATAGAAATTACTTCTGAAAATGCAAATTATTTAAACAGACAGCAATTGCTACACATCCCAAAGGAGGGTTTTAACTTTGCTAATTTTTAAAAAATAAGAGTATAAAACAACTTATACAAAAAAGCTATGTCAAAATAAGATTTGCTCTGAAATAAGGCTTGTACAGGCTCTGCTCTGAAACTTAGATATACCTAACTACTGTACCTTAACATCAGTAGATATAAGGCATTTGTAAACATTTCATATTTGACAATAATTCAGCTACAAACACACTCAAAAAACATGGTTTTAACTTTAGCACTCAGTATTTTGAAATATATCCCCAAGTAAGTTTTGTTTTCCTCCCTGACCTATGCCAATCTAGGGCCTTGTTAAACCATTTCAATATACTAAATTTTAGACAACAGACTTTCTATCTAGTCAGGAGTGGTAACAGCAAAAAGATAAGTAATGCTGGAAATCTGGTAGCAATACCAAGTTTGATCCAACCATAAATATGCTGTTTACAGTTACAGTGTTTTAGGCCATCAGAGAAAATGAATCCTGATGGCTATAAGGAAATTATGTACCTCCCCAGGAGATAACTTATTTCATTCTAACCAACACTGCCATTAGGAAGAAAACTGGCAGGCACAAACTCCTGGAAAATGGCTGCAGGTGCCCCAGACTTTATAGACACATAGCGAAAAGTAGAGAAAACTGGCTTTTGCAGATGAAAGGCCTCAGAGGACCTCTGTCAACAGACATCTTATAATTACAGAAGGATTAAAATGAAAGTAAGCACCTTTGTTAGTAGGTACTTCTGCTGGTAGAAATGGCACCAACACAATTGGGTCAATAATCTGAGCATTTCTTCCTATATGTGTTTGGACCTATGGTAAGCTACAACAAAGAATGAAAAGTGTGGATCAGAAAGGATAGATCCACTTAAGGATCAGGGGTATACAAGAAGCCTGGGAACACAATATCTACTACTTCTCCATTCCCCTTAGAAACAAAATCAAACCACATAAGAACCCTTCAAGTTCTAGTGAGCAACAAGACAAAAATGTTATTATTTTAAAGTGCTAATAAATTCTAGATATCAACAACTTTGAATACTCTGAACCACAAGAATCTGTTGTAATGGGTACCATTTATGCATCTAGCACGAAGATTGGATTTTAAGATGCTTTGATCAGATCTCAGATGGTTGATCAATTCTGTCTGTTATTTGTTTTTCTGAAGATCTTTCTGTGCTAATGTCTGAAAAGAAAACATACAATAATTATTTATCTTAATATTTAATATTAATATTTATATTTCCTTATATTTATAAGGAAAATTAAATTCTTAATGAAAGAATTACATAAAATTTACCTAAATTTAGCAGAATAGTAACTCTGGGCATTTCTGAATTATATTTTTGAAATGTTTTATTAAAAATATAAATTCAAATATCACCTATTAGAACATTTTGAGCAAAAAAAATTTACTGAAAATAAACATGAAATAAAATGTATCAAATTAAAATTTAAAAGTATATTTTAACATACTTTAAAGCTATGTATGTCTTCTATTAAATTAGATCATGGAAAATACTGTGTTCATTTTATAAACAACCAAAGTAAGAGGTTAAAGCAATTTAAAGTGCTCCTACACAATTAGAAAATAAGTTTCTAATAATTGAATCCAAGGTTTTTCAGATCATAAAAATATGTAATAAGAAAGTTTTAGAATCAAATATAATAAAAGTATAATTTATGCCTATCAAAAACAAAAAGCTTTTAAGCATTATGATACTTAAACTCCTTCAGTGCATTAATTCTCTAATAACAGTTTCAGTGAAGGAAATGTTGCAAGGTCAGATCTGATTTTTTTTAACTTAGTTTGAAATTGTACATATTCTCTTTGAATATAATTTGTTTTATGTAGTACCAACTCCTCAGGAACTGAAAACACTTCATGGATTTATATCCTGACTTTAGTTTTGTTTATTATTAATTTTTGTTTTTTGCAGAGGGACAAAGCACTAGTTCAATGATATGAATACCAGTAAAATCATTGTTACCAGTAGATAAAATAATACTAATAAAATAATAATAATAAAATAATCAACGATGGCTTACCAATTCCAAAAATTCTATTTCTGTTTGGAGAGCTTCATAAACACTTTCCAAGTCATCTTCCTTATAAAGTTCTAATTCTTTTTTAAGTCTATTTTAAAAGTAAAAATTCACCCTATTAGTTCAATAATACATTGTTTTATAAATTTTTATTGCATAGAGAGTGGCAGGTTTGTAGCTTCTATAATCAGAATTTCAAGTTAAAACCAAAGAATTTGGAAATTTCAATTATCTAAAATTCAATAAACACTATATAAAATTTTTTTTTTTTTTTTTTTCTTGAGACAGAGTCTCGCTTTGTTGCCTAGGCTAGAGTGAGTGCCATGGCGTCAGCCTAGCTCACAGCAACCTCAAACTCCTGGGCTCAAGCGATCCTACTGCCTCAGCCTCCCAAGTAGCTGGGACTACAGGCATTCGCCACCATGCCCGGCTAATTTTTTTTTTATATATATTAGTTGGCCAATTAGTTTCTTTCTATTTATAGTAGAGACGGGGTCTCGCTCTTGCTCAGGCTGGTTTCGAACTCCCGACCTCGAGCAATCCACCCGCCTCAGCCTCCCAGAGAGCTAGGATTACAGGCGTGAGCCACCGCGCCCGGCTTATATAAAATTTTGAGAAAGAAATCTTTCATAAGGAAAAATAAGGTATACCGAATAAATAATAGACACTTAATAATATATGAAAATTAAAAGAGCAACATGGGTTCCTGGGAAAAAACAATAGCACTATTAATATGTCTAAAGACCTCTGTTTTAGTCCTGGCTATTAATAAGCTGAATAAACTTGGGTAAAACATTTAGCTTCTTTGATTCTCACCTGAAAACTACTATAATTCTTATCTTCAATCCTTTGTGTGTAATGTGTCTTTATATCCTTTCTTTCTATGCCTTCGTTCATGATTTTATCTTTATCTTTGTTTTTCAGAAGTTCAAATATGATGTGTATACATGTTTGCTTTTTTTCTTTTCTTTTCTTTTTTAATGCTGCTTGGGGCTCTCTGAGCTTCTTGTATTTGTGCTTTAGAGTATTTCATTATTATTTCATTATTTTTGGCCAGGCATGGTGGCTCACACCTGCAATCCCAGCACTTTGGGAGACCAAGGTGGGAGGATCACTTGAGGGTAGGAGTTTGAGATCAGCCTCAGCAATATAGTGAGACCTTTTCTGCACAAAAATTTTTTTAAAAACTTAGCCAGTCATGGTGACAGGAGGATTGCTTGGGCCCAAGAGTTCCAGGCTCCAGTGAGCTATGATCAGGCCATTGCACTCCAGTCTAAGTAACAAAGGGAGACCCTATCTTAAAAAAAAAAAAAAGGAAAAAGAAATATGTTTATCCATTTATTTATGTAATAAGAAACATAGGAAGGAGAGACCAGAAACTAGTGAAAATGGTTACTTATAGCAGTGAGTGAAAATGCAGTGGAATAGATACAAAATAGAATGAAAATCCCCTGGGTGTGTTTTTTATATACTTTTGATTATGCTGATGTCTTACATATTCATCAAATAAGATTTAATCAATGAAGCTGAGGAAAAGAATCCTAAAATTTGACACAAAAGAATACTTGAGCTAAAGAGAAACAAATAAACCTAACCACATTTCAAATTTATAATCACAGAGAAAAATAAAAAGTAATTAATTTGAGTAATATTTGAACACAGTAGTCTATACACCTTCAGTGGGATATGTAGTAAGACAATAAGAATTACAAAGTAGGTTTGTTATTAGTGGAGGCATAAAGCTAGTAATTCTAAAATTATTTTGTGATATTTTTAGGATTTAGGAATGTGCTAATGGGAGTATAAATTGGTTTAATCGTTCTGGAAAATAGTCTGTTGTTATCTTGTGAAGTTTAACATTAACATACCCTACACTCAGCAATTCCAACAGGCATATATCCTAGTGAAACTCTTGCACATGTGCACCAACCTGTGGACATTAGCACTGCCTGTGATAGCAAAAGGCTGGAAACAACCCAAATGTCCATTAAAAAGAGAAAAAATTGTGGTATATTCACATATCTACACTCACCAACATAGGCAAATCTTAGAAACAACGTTGAATAAAAAATAAGTCCCAGACAGTATGATACCATTTACAAAATTCAAAAACAATAAAAAATAACCAATAGATTGTTCGAGCATACATATATATGATAGATTATATTAATATATAAATATATGGCATAAATTAAAATAATTATATAATGCAGTAAAGAAAATTACATGTTAGTCAAAAAATGAATCAAATAAGTTATGTAACACACATGTACAAGAAGAAGAAATATAACAAAGGACATTAATGACAACTGAGGTAAGGAAGGGAGCATGGGATAAAAGAGGAGCCATAGCTAATGTAAGCTATTGGTCATATTCTAGTTTAGTTCCAGGTGCTCATTGTACTTCAGAAAGTACATAGGGTTTACATATATTATTTTAAGATCAACTAGGAAAGAAAAATATAATACTGATAATAAGGATGGATGGGGCAGCAATATCCTATACAGTCATGTCCCACTTAACAACAGGGATACATTCTGAGAAATGCATCATTAGGCGATTTCATCATTGTGCAAACATAAAGTGTACTCACACAAACCTAGATGATGTAGCCTACTAAACACCTAGGTGTTTAGTAGGTATATGGTATTGCTCCCAGGTTACAAACCTGTACAGTGTGTTACCTGTACTGAATACTATAGGCAATGATAACACAATGGTAAGTATTTGTGTATCTAAACATAGAAAAGGTAGAGTAAGAGTATGGTATTATAATCTTATGGACCATGGTCATCTATGAGGTCCACTATTGACTGAAATGTCATTATATAGTGCATACCTGTAAATGTGAAGTTCATTGTGTTCTGAACTTTTAGGAATTTAATAGTAAGTAGGAATTCTAAAGAAATGCCTAATTAGGAGAGAGAACAAGCTATTAATTTTGAGCCTTAGATGTTTATATATGCATAAAAAATCTTTTAATAAATATTTTTAAAGAGTAAGTGGAAGGTTAAGTGCAGAGTTGCAATATACTGTGTATGCTGCTATTAAAAAGTACATAAGACTTCATTTTAATATATTTATATTTTTCAAATAAAATAATAGAGATCTTTCTTCCCACCACTTGCCCATGTTCCTCTTCAGTTCAGATGGACTACAGATTCTGTAAGATCTTTCATTTCCATCAGAACTGGGTGGTGACCACTCTCCCTTTTATTTACCTAATAATAAGAATGAATGACTACTGAAATTAAGGAGGGCATTCAGAGCAAATTATAGGAAGTATTTTTCTATTCAGCATATAATCAAACTGTAGAATTTAGATCTGCACTTAAAGAAAAGATTGCTGTTGCTAGCTTTAAAAGGCTAGATGATAATGATATGAATATTAATACATTTGCAGCTAGCCAAAGCAATATAATGGTAAGCAGATCTCACGCTTCAGTGCATAGACTGATTGCCCACAGGAGTCAAGAAGGACTTCCCTCACCCACTGCACAATAACTAAGGGCAGTTTGCATTGGTTATTGTCACCTTTCTCTGAATCATCAAATAATGACCAGGATGAGCCAACATTGCTACTTAGTTTAAACAAAACTTATGTTCCATGTATTTTTATGATTTCCTACACCATTCTAATTTATTTTTGCAGTTACCTCTCAGAGGCATAAAAAACCTTAACTAACAGCATACTCTTTTTAGCTGTAGAACTGTACACAGCTACTATTTCAGTTGAAAGGACAAATTTCACCCAAAGTCTTAGTACTCAAACTCAAATGCTATTAAAATTTAGGTATATTTCATTGCAGTCTTTAGTTTCCATTTAATAGTGATTATATAATTTTGCTTCCGAGTTTTTATTTTTTTTAATGCTATATACATTTCCCCCAGCTAACTATGCATGCCAATTAATTCCATTTAAGGTAAATATGTAGTAGTCCAAATGGTTAACCACAGTTGACTTAATCATTCATTTATGGTAGAGCATTTTGGCTGTTCCCATTTTTTTCACCATAAACGATATTACTATGAATACCTTTGTACATAAAGCTTCTTCTGTACTTAGAATTGTTTTCCTTAAGGTAGAGCTCATGAGTGGATTTATTGGGTCAAATGACATAAACATTTTTTAAGATGCTTTCAATAATTTATATACGTTAAAATATATTCCAAACATGTATATGCAATATCTACTGCTACAAGCAGTGTATGTATCATCTCTTTACCACACCCTTGCCAATTTTGACTATGGTCATTTAATTTGTATTATTACATCAATGACACCAATGAATTTAGAAAATAGTCACTGTAATGCTGTAGAGGGCTTGTATAATAAACAAAATTATTTCAAAATCTAGGGGACAAATCTAGGGTACATTTATATCAGAATATAACTTTTAAAATAATCGATTGAGTCTACCATCAAAATTTCCCCTGTATTTACTTACAAGCTTTAATAACTATGGTATGTGCCAAGAATTCACAAAATAGGGGATCTCTATTAGCTTGGAGGCTACATAATCAATGCTGTAGAGACACTTCTGTTAGTGAATAAATGATGAGGTTTTCCCAGAAAAGATGCAGAGTCAACAGAAATATCCAACAAAATACATTGTTAAGAATGATCCTGGAATTAAATGGAGATTTTCATATTTCATAAATGTTAAAAGAGATAATATGGATTTGGTATAGATATATAATTATTTGACTAGTATTTTACAGAAACTTTAGAACTGAGATTTTGTTATACCTGTCCACTTTGAGTTAATTCTTGTTGAAAACAAAGATTGAAGTAAATATAGACTACTTTCTAAACGTCTAACAATTCCTATTACTCTACTAAATGATGCTCATTCTGTTAATAAATAATGTTACAGAAACACTTATGAAATCATTTAAGGATACATTTATAAAACTGTCTAATTGTGAATATTTAGAAACTGTCTCATACATCCATTAATGGAAGAACCATTACATAAATGTGGCATCTCCATACAATGGCATTAAGAAGAATTAAGTTGATCAGTAAAAATTAATGTGGGAAGTATCTATATTTTGCTAAGCAATAAAGCAAACTGCAGACCAGTAAGT